TAATGAATAATAAATGATTTTTCTTTTCATAATTTTTTCCCTAATGAAAAACATTTTCGATTCCTATCAGAGGACAATAATAATTTTTACTATTGTCATTTAAAAAGTGCACGAAGTGTAACATAACATTCCGTTCGCCCGAGAATCGCAAAACCATGGAAAACATAATTACCGTGCGGTCACCTCCGTGGTTTTGGCGCACGCGTCCCCAATACTTATTCATCCCACAACACACTGGTGCTCCCCCCGAAAAAGTGATGACATCCTTCCCTCAACAATTGTAAAAAAAAATAAAGAGTGACCTCTCTGGCGAGTTCCGGGCACGCGTCGAATACGACAAACTCGACAATTTCAAAAACCACAACAGCCGGAAGTCCATTGGTTTCGGATGGTACGATTGCAAAAAATTACTGTCGTAAAACTTGATGGAATATATTTCCAGAAAATTGACGGCAATACCTGGAATATTTTTTTACGAACTTCAGGAAGGGAAAAATCATTGGAAAGAACGCAGAGGGCGCCTAATGAGTCTAAATACCTTCAATTTGCATGGAAATAGCGGTCGACCTGGTATTATAATATCACTGTCATCGTTATTCATGTGCCACTGCAATTTTCCGTGCAGCTATGCCCATGCAGTCATTATGACACTGTACACTGAGAGAAAAACGACAAAGTTCTCAAACAAGTCTTACTCGCGCCAAGAAAATAGCNATTCATTCCTCCGCTCCTACTTGAGATTAAGGAATGAAACCGTTGTCATTTATTGAAAATAGTTATTTGTGTCACAAGGCCCGTAAGTGGAGGTTTGTGAAGAAACCCCCACTGAAGAAAGACCAAATAAACAAAATTGAAAAGAGGGAAATGATAAATTATAAATTCTAAATTAACGGACCGATCTGGAATGAAAAAATGAAGTAGAATGTGTCACGAGGTAAAATTCAACTATTTGTGCTGACGTACTTACTGCGTCGTCACTGGTATTATTCACTTCAATAAAAATGTCTTTTTTGTCATTCATGCCCGTTAAGTGGCGTTTTCGTGGTGTGTTTTAGAACCCGTAAGTGGGATTTACCAGGCCATGGGCCGGTAAGTAAAAACTAGCCCCGATTTCACGATTTACGGGCCATGGCCTGTTAAGTAAGACGTGAAGTGAGTCCCTCTTACACTATAGCTCGTGCGGCTGAACTATAGTTTGCCACCAAAACCCAAAATTCACGAGGAAAATCGTAACAAATTCCGTTAAACAAAAGAGCGAAATGAATTTCATTATACTCGACAGTGACGAAGAGGAGTCCACATGTCATTTCTAGCACTACTCTTTCGTTATTCGATACTCCCATACGTATTCTGCTCCCGAAAAATCTTTGTTTTATGCGAAACAAGGGATAGTAGTTTTTCGTTTCGGCTGTCTAATAATCACAGACAACAAATGAACCCTTAAATGAAACAATAATAACGATATGATAGCAATCTTGTAATTTAGGAATAAAATATTTGTTGATAAATTTTCCTCTATATGAGACATTTTCATCCTGAACAGGCACCGTCTGATGTGAATTATCCGCCTCTTGAGCCCAATATTTCGTTGCTGTCGAAAGCAGAACAATTATTCATGTTTGAGGCTTTCAAATTCGAAACAAACAAATTCTTTTTTGGCAATTTTCAACTAGTGTACGTACATACCTAGATATGCCACATACGGTTACCTCGTAATTCTATACATAAAAAAATTAATGATATACTTTTTTCACTCCTCCACTTTTATTCATTTATCGCGAATCCGACTGGCGATTCCAATAATGGCATTTAATATATAAAAAATAATGTGTAAAATAAATATTCAGGAATGTCTTCACTATTAACGATTGATTTCAAGAATTAAATTCTTTTTTATAATAATCTTCAAAAATCAAATTGAATTGATCCAATTTCGCAAATAAAAAACAAGGATCTATCAAATTTCTCGCACCCCCACAGAAAATTAATTATCTCCCTGCGACAGGAACCAACGAACGCTTACACGGATCAATCTAGTCTGCACGAGCTCACGGATAGGACGAAAAACAACAACAGAATTGCTCGCGCCCCCCGAGACACCATGTGTTGCGCCTATTGGGCGCCCCTCAGGTAGAAAAACGCGGGCCACGTTGGCAACGCATCTGGCGAGCGGGTCCTACGACTGATGCCGGGGGCGTGCAAACGTCCTCGTACGTATTACCTTTGTGTTAGAAATGGATTCGTTTAGCCTCGGTCATCACATTTTTCCCATTTATTTCGACGATTCGGGAGAAAAGTGTCATGATTCTGAGAAAATATTGAATTTTAATCGATGGGGGTGGTTCATAAACATATTGATTTTTTTATGTGGAGTATTCAACACAGAATTATTTTTATATTTTATGAAGGCGAAACTTAAATTTGTTGTGATGTATTAATTTTTTTACTCCAATTTTATTCAGTATCATAATTTATTTCGAAATGGAAATGGCATATTTTCATTTTTAATTCTCTAACAATATTTAAAAAATATGTATCCAAGTAAACAATTAATGATTCACTATTAATTCAGTAGCGAAATGGTAAAACAATGTAAGTCAATTTTGACTATTGACCAGTTTTCAATCAATATCTCGGAATCTAAGGGAGATAACAAAATTTTTGTTATAACCTTTTTTGGGGCGCCGATTGAGAGCTACAACATTTGTCATTACGAAAATTTCGCTATCTCCCTCAGATTCGGAAATATTCCTCAAAAACTCAACTGGGAGATAAGTCGACTTAAACCCTTTTACCCCTTCGCTACTGAATTAAACTAAATAAGAAAAAAAAGCGATTGAGGTGTTTTTTGCTATTATTTTTTTTAATTAATAAAATGTTTCGGCCGTTGAATTATTTGAATCCTTTAACGTATTGAATTTTTTCTAACTTAAATTGCATCAAATATTTCAGTGCATTCGTCAATATGAATCGCACATTCAATTGAATTAAATTTTAAAAAGCAATTGAAGTGTTTTTATACAACATTATATTAACATTTTTTTAATTAATAAAATGTTTCAGGCGTTAAATTATTTGGATTCTGTAACGTGTTGAATTTTTAATTTCTAATTTGCATTGCATCAAATACATTAATATATTCTTCAACATAAATCGCCCATTAATTTTAATTATCTGCAATACATATCCAGATTTATTTTCGTCCTCCTCACCTCTCCGCCAATACTTCCCCCAAAAAAATCTAATATAATAAATCGAGTCAATCTCCGTCAACGTCACAAGAGAATCTCTCCTCTCCCTAATACAAAAACTGTCGATCCAATACCCACGCTAATGCCGTCCGCGTAAAATATATGCCCTACACCACGGCTGAATGTATTAATGCCCCGAGAAAATGATGGACGCCTCTCCGACGACGATGTTAGACATGAATAAGAATAATACACGCGTAACCTAGCCTTTAACCATTGTTACAACGCTGAGAAAAAAAATTACTTCTGCGAAGGAATGATTTTCTTGGGAGAAGAATTTTTTTTTTTTAAGAGCGAATTTCTCCCAGTCAGTCATTCCTAGGTGGTCCATGTCCATCTCCAGATGTTAGGGGAGGATGGGGCAAAACGGCCCCCCTTCAATCGTCAATATTTTCCGATTCAATAATCCGATTGGGATGAGTTAGAGCTCGTTTTGAAGAATGAAAAATTATCTTCAAAATGAAGTTGAAACTGGGAATTTTCACAATGTCATTCACAAGTTATTGACAATTGAAGGGGGGTCGTTTGGCCCCACCCTCCCCTACAATTATGTTCAATTATGAGATGATTATGCTACATATGACCTTGAATGAACCGTTTGGAGAAATGCGCTGCTAAAAAAATAGATTTTTCTCCCATGAAAATGATTCCTTGACAAAAGTAATTTTTCTTCTCAGGGAAGTTACTCCTCGGGTCATTGGACGTAATAGCGTCAAGAATGTTGTTAAAAAACACCGGATAAATGATGGAACGTGTGAATATAAGTAATGATTGCATCAGGTGAATGCCGAGGCCCAGCTTCACCAAATTGGACGGGATGCCTTTGAGTTATCCCCGTGGATCACGGATGCGAATATTTATGGTGCGGGTGAATAAAAAATATCAAGGGCCCACTCGGTTGAATGGGAATCGGCGCTCGATTCAATCGCCTTATTCGTATGGTAACTGTTAATACAGTGTTCTCAGCCCTTACGGCGAGACCTTATCTTCGGATACAGGTGCAGGCTTGAGANGGGGGGGGGGGGGGGGGGGCTGACGCTAAAAGGTGGCGATTAACAGTCTAAGCAAATGCCGCGAGGTTATAAATTGTTGGAAATATCATGGGCATCGCAGAGTTTTCATGAAATGCAAATATTCGCGGGTTCAAACATTTAACGAATTTTTTATGTGGATGATAAATGTAAAAAAAGTTCATTAGGTAAATGCAAAAGTTGAAACAGAATAAAAAATTAATCGTAGAAAATATTTTCCCTCGGAGACGACTATTTTCGCCGTAAAATAAATTTCAAGAGCAAATAACGCTTGCAAAATCGTTCGTCCGCGCCTAACGACATAACGGTCTCAACTCGCGGGACGAATATTCGCGCTTTCCCATGCGGACAAGGTGGAAGTAGGAAAAATTTTGCAAATTCCGGAATGTGGAAGACCCTGAGAGAGGCCAATAACATATAAAGAAGAGAACAGTCAGACGACTGTAAAATACAAAACCGAGGGGCAATTGGGTAGAACCCCGATGTTACGATCATTTCAACAAAACTGTTCATCTTTGTGACGACGAGACAAAGAAATCGTCTTGGGAATGCAGTTTATTCTTTTCTTTTTAGAAATATGAGAAAAAATAACGGACGGTATTCCGTGTATTTCCATCGCAATTGATTCCCCAATTTATTATTGATTAAAAAAAAGATATTTGTAAAATCAATTATGAAATTTTTCATCAATGTGCATTTTCATTTTATCCAAACTCACGGCTGATTGGAGTGACCTCAGGGTGAAGTTACTCCACTTCCTCTGCCTGCCCGGATAAAAATTCATCCTGAAGTTATGACTCGCCTGTTGTTGATTGAAGTAAGCCAACTCCATGGAATTGCGATAGCCGGCGACAGTGGCATACCCCAATTTCTGATAATCACAGTGTGAATAATCCCTCATAAAGCCGTCACCGTTGTCACCAGATTGGCCAGACTGTTGGCGATGATAACTGTCACTCCTCCCAGCGACCTCATTCGTTCTTTTTTCACTATCCAAAATCGATGCCGGATAAAAATGGGAGAAACCGAAGGGATTCGGCTGGCCGGGGCCGACGGCTCGATAGGCCGGATGCATCGCCGGATATTGCCCCGAAATTCTCGGCAAATTCACAGCCTCAGGTAGACCCTTGTACCCCTCATAACGCTCGTAATTCTCCTTATTCTTGTCCTCGTAATTTTTTTCATAATTGTCGTTCAATCTCCCCGACTCGTCGTCCGTAATTTCTTGCTTTATCCTCACGTCCTCTTGGGCCTCCCTCTTAACGACAATTTCGCCAGAGATTTTCTCGGAATCTTTGTCATAAGATTCAACACTATTTTGCCCGAGGCTGGCCTGCTGCATTTTTTCTGTAATGCTGAAAATTTTTTGAAGGTTTTCACAATTTATTTTTCGTTATGATTCACATAACAGGGCCATTGGGACTGTTGGAGGACAGATGAGGAGTCATTAGCTTCGTAAATATGACACTCCCCGGACCAGCCAGTGTCGCCGGACTATTCCGAAGAGCGACGAGTCCTCAACTTCGGTTGTTTTCGGTTAAAGGTATCGCGGGAAAAAGGAGAGGGGATACAAATGAGGATGGGGTGGGGGAGGTGGGGGTAGGGGTGGGCAAGGGCGGCGTGACACTTTCAGTGTCACGTGTCCAACGTCCTGAGGCCACGCCTCCAATTCCGCTTCAACCCCTATTTTTTTAATATTCTCTCTGAGAACAACGGGATGCACACGCGATTTTATATCACTCAGCATTCACTGTGATTCTTGATTAATTGATAACTGATTGTTTCACTAAATCACTTCACTCGAACATTCACTCGTAATCACACGGTTTCGGGGTGAATTTGAGGGGAAGATAAAACGTATTAAATAATAGTTCAGGAGGATAACCGTCTCTCGACCGTTCCCTCGAGCGCACCACGAGCGACTCTCTTGCCCCGTGTTACCGAGGCCACGAGTCGATTCGTGCGTTTTCGTAATTAATCGTGGATAACCGCGCGGGCTCAGCGCTACAGACACTCCACACTTGCGTTTTTCACGTTCACCTTTTATTTCTTTCAATATTCACCCAATATTTCAGAAAAAAAAATCCACGCCTTTTTATTCGCAACAATATTGGCTATATTTTTACTCTCAAAAGCTCGATATGCCCAAGTGGATGAAGAATAGTCCCTTGAAGCGTAAAAATATATTTCCATAAATTTTTAAAACCAAAATTTAATTCAGATTGATTTTCACGAAAATTTTTATGATTCGAAAAATTTCGGGAAATATTTTTTTCAAGAGATACTTCATTTTTTTTTTAATATGGAGATGAATCGTGGAGGAATATAAAGGTCTATACTTTTCACGCGGAGTGTGTACCCCGGGTGGTTGCGCGCGACTACCGGCACCGCCCGAGTCCATCCGAAGTATCCGATAGCCTTCGCATGTATTCTCGATGTATTGAGAGTGCTTCATACGTGATATATTCGACATTAGATTCACCTCCCCTCGGTTGAAAATAGGACGATTATTTTTTTATCATGAATCAATTTCTCTAATTTGCCCTCTGATTTTTCATTTCCCATCAACAGTGACTGATATTTTATTTATTCATCGACACTTGTCGGTGGTTTGACTGATGTTCGACACTCGTTTCTCTCACGCGGGTTCTTGCATACAACCCGAGACGCTGTACTTGATTGGCGCTGCGTATAGATATATAGGTTTCACAGCAGGATGACTGGTGAGAGAATTCAATTTCCGTCGTCGTTATCGTTGGATACATCATCGATGAGAGAAGTACTTTCTATTTTTTTTGGGGGGTTTCATGAATTTTTGTATCTTGTCGAAGTCTTCGGAGGTTATTTTCGAGGAATATAATTTTAGCAATGAACTCTTAATGAAAAGAAATGTATATTCCTCATACCAAGCGGATAGCCATGTGTGTAAACGCTCAGACTGGTAACCTTAGGGTCGCGGGTTCAAATCCAACCTCCGGCGATTGTTCGCATTTTCTCAAATATTAAATCGGTGCAATAGATTTCGCTGGCAGGAGCGAAATATAATTTTTATTTGGTTGTGTGGTGAAATATATCCTGATACATCAGTATATTTGACGACCCATCACCTTCTCCGTTCGCTTATTCATGTTCCACCTATAGTCATTAATACGAATAATAGGGAAGAATGGGGTAAAATGGACACTTTAGACTTTTTTAAAATTATTCATAACTCAGAAAAAAATTCATCAATTGAGCTCAGTTTAGGCTCGTTCCAAAGGGAAAGAAGTATTCTTTGTATTGAAGAGAAAATCATTAAATTTCATCAACATTTCAACCCCTCATTAACATTTTAAAAACAGTCAAAAGTGTCCGTTTTACCCCAATCTCCCTTATGAATATAATTTTTGCAATTAATTCCAAACAGAAAAAATGTTATATTCCTCATACCAAGCGGATAGCCATGTGTGTAAACGCTCAGACTGGTAACCTTAGGGTCGCGGGTTCAAATCCAACCTCCGGCGATTGTTCGCATTTTCTCAAATATTAAATCGGTGCAATAGATTTCGCTGGCAGGAGCGAAATATAATTTTTATTTGGTTGTGTGGTGAAATATATCCTGATACATCAGTATATTTGACGACCCATCACCTTCTCCGTTCGCTTATTCATGTTCCACCTATAGTCATTAATACGAATAATAGGGAAGAATGGGGTAAAATGGACACTTTAGACTTTTTAAAAATTATTCATAACTCAGAAACAAATTCATCAATTGAGCTCAGTTTAGGCTCGTTCCAAAGGGAAAGAATTATTCTTTGTATTGAAGAGAAAATCATTAAATTTCATCAACATTTCAACCCCTCATTAACATTTTAAAAACAGTCAAAAGTATCCGTTTTACCCCAATTTCCCTTATAAATATAATTTTTGCAATTAATTCCAAATAGAAAAAAAGTTATATTCCTCATACCAAGCGGATATAGCCATGTGTGTCAACGCTCAGACTGGTAACCTTAGGGTCGCGGGTTCAAATCCAACCACCGGCGATTGTTCGCATTTTCTCAAATATTAAATCGTTGCAATAGAGTTCGCTGGTAGCAGAGAAATATAATTTTTATTTGATTGTGTGGTGAAATATATCATGATATATCAGTATATTTGACGACCCATCACCTTCTCCGTTCGCTTATTCATGTTCCACCCATAATATTAAAAACGAATAACGTGAATATAATTTTTTTTATCGTGCGGTGAACTATATCAGAATACATCAATATTTCTTTTCATATTTTGTGTATAATTCCATGAGATTAATATCTCCAATATCAGATACCTCATCCTCTCTCCTCACTTATTCATATTCCACCCACAGATTTTGATCCACCGTCGAGTTAGATCCATGAATAAATTGGTGTCGAGTGCAATGCATGAATTTGGCGCGCGATCAGAAATACCACGTTGTTTATACGAAGCGCGAGAGAGGAGGGTCCAATGAATCTTTGAAGGAGTCAGAGTTCATGTGTTATATCGATGAGACTAACAGACAGCTAGTTACTCTGAGGCCATCCGTGCATTGCGTAATTGCGATTTTATTTCTAATCATGCAGTTTGTCTTGTGGAGACGAAAGGGAAAATATATGAAAGATTGAGTTCACGGATTTTTCTCCGGCGAGATATGTCAATCTGAGATCTGGATCGAAATGGGATCGACTAAACAAATGACATCATGGAGCATTCCCCATGACCACGATATGAATACTCCATTCTCCAATTCACATCGATAAAATATTTAACAACAAAAAGGACTACTACTTTAAAAGTCAAAATCTTCGCGACAAAAATATATTCCCGTGGTGAATTCATTCCAAATTTTTCCAGATTTTCTAGCCCAGAACCCCCCCCC